AGAGGAGGTGGCAAAGGGCAAGACAGAAGCTGCAAGAAAGAGTGGAGTGGGTGAGGCTCAAGGGAATCCAGCTACCTATGTGGCAGGATTCTGATATCTGGGAAGCGAGAATTAATTTTCAGCATTCACCAATATGAGACAAGCTCTTGACATCTGGGGACTAAGGATGGCTTTTTTGCCTAACAGTGACTCTGGACTAAGAAGTAACACATGTAAATTGATTCTTCTCATTGTTTTCCCTTTACTTGGATAGCAGTAGTTGTGATGTCTCGTACCTGTATAATTTTAGATTGAAGCACGCAAAGACTTGTTTCCAAGTAGTATGAAAGAAAGGACATCACTCAGACTATAGACTTCTTCCACCTATGGGAATGTGGCTAGGAGGGTACATGGCATCATTCTGACTATGTCCTGTCAACTCCGGACAGGTTTGCTCTTCTGGGTATCTGCTGCGTGTGCAAGAGATAGCAATGCCTGGTGATAGAGAGGCTCAAGTGGGGCTGATAAAGCTTCTTCCAATTCTGAAATTGCACCTTCCCACTATTTATCCAGTTTTTGGCCCCAGGCAAGCATTTTTATAAATGGAGATTTAGCAGATGGTATGCACTCAGAAAACAGGCCAAAAGAGTCAGTGCCTTCTGAAACCAAAGAAGCAGAAGGAAAAAGATACAGAAAAATGGTGAGGCATCTGTACAACTTCTAGCTCTTGGTGTGTTGTAAGAGAGCTAACAAGACAATGCAGCCATCTGCTGGGCTAAGGGATGGAGAATGAAGGATTTTCCAAGCCAGGAAGAGTAAATGGAGTGTGCAACTGCTGCCATTGCTAAATGGGCTCTCTAATTCCTCTCTCCATAATGGTAATGACTTACATTTATATGGCACCTTTCATCAGCTTTGATCTCAGGGAATGAACGCTCAAAGCCTCTCTTCCATTCAGCTCCTAAATCTGATCTTCAACAGGCTAAAGGATGACCTCTGTATTTGTGATTATATCCATTTTAGAGAACAGTTCATGTGCAATAAGACTTGCAGATGCTGAGGAAGGGATTCCAGAATGTCAAAGGAAAAGGTAGAGAAAATGCTGTGAGCAGTGCAGGTACTTATTTCTAATCATAGTCCTCAGTATTGTCCAGCTGAGCCAAGACCTCTGCCGGAATAAAGTTTCTGGAAGCTCTTAACACCTCCAGTAACTGAGGTTTCATATCATCTGCTCACTGCCTACTCACAGAGCTTCTTCACACTTTCTATAGTGTATCACTTTAAAGTGAATGCTCTTCACAAAGTAGTGACAAACTCTGACTGACATTGGGTTCCAAGAGCTGCTAAAGACATTTTCCCTTTCGCTTTGAGGTTCAGAAATACAAAGGGCATTTGGGATATACAAGCATGGAGAGGCCAAAGCTTGGAAGAGAGGGAAATGTTAGTGAATGTGGTCTGCTCTGGTAAGATATTCAACAAGATGAGCAAGGACATAATATATAACACATATAGATATAGAAGCCACTGAATATTGTAATTCATTGATGTGTTGGGGAAAGACTAAATGACATAACCCAGAGACTGACACAAAGCAGTGGTAAAAATAACTCAGACAAGTGGATTTCAGTAAGGAGAGAGGTGGAAAGCTGGACTGTGGAGATGCTCCCCAGCTGATATTTAGGAAAGTTAGGCCATAAGGATTCTTTTTCATTGGCTGGGATCAAATAAAGAGATGCTTAAAAAAAAAAACCTCATTTCTCATGAAAGCATCACATGATCACTGTGCACATGTGTAGGGGAAGATGCATCCTCAGAGTATGGATGGATTCTTAGAGAAAGGCAAGGGGGACCCAGAGGAGTACTGAGCTGGGGACCAGGAGCTGGGGACCAGGACCTGTGTCCCAGACCTGTTTCGGTAATCAGCTGGGTGATGTGTGATTGAATTTCAGCACAGTGAATAAAGCCCTGGGCTTTTTAGAATCAAAGGAGACAGCTTTTTCAAACCTGAGCAGGTCCCTTGATCTCTTTGAGCCTCAGTGCCCTGATTTGTAATACTGTAATGAAGATACATGCTGAGAACCTGTAGCCTGAAAATTTGAAATCTGAATTGCTCCAAAATTGAAAACTTTTTGAGTGTTGATTTGACACAAGTAGAAAGTTCTATACCATGAGTAAACTTTGTTTTGTGTTTAAAGTTATTAAAAATGCTGTATAAAGCTACCATCAAATTAAGGTATGTATGAACAATAAATGAATTTCATATTAAGACCCGGACCCTATTCCCAATATATCTTATTATATAGATAGAAATGTCCCTAAATCCCCCAAAAATCTGAAATGTAAAAATACTTCTGGTTGGGCTGGGGATTTAGCTCAGTGGTTCTGCTGCCTGCCTTGCAAACACAAGGACCTGAGTTCGATCCCCGGTACCAAAAAACAAACAAACAAACAAACTTCTGGTCCCAAGCGTTTCAGAGATGGTTACTTTACTCTTAGTTGTATTTCAAGATTGTGGGAAGGTTGTTATGAAGCAACGGCTGTTAAATGGCTTCAAGGAGTAAAACACTGTCTACAAGAGGTCTGGCCCTATAGCTTGCATTACCCAGGAACAGATAGTACCCTAAAAAAGTGGAATACCATCTCTGAGGCCACACAGGGAGTTTACAATAGAACCAGACCTCCTACCCATCCTTTAGGCTGAATCCAGCTTTCTTTCACATAGCTGGGCTGTCATGGTGCCTGTTCTTTTCCACTCATGTGGCTAGCTAAAGATCAAATGAGAAATGGTGAGGAGATTTTGAATAAAGTGACAACCACCACATAAATGCAAAAATACACTGGGAATCTTTGGGAGTTCAACTAGCACCAAGAAAAACTAGCCGCAGAACAATAATTCTAGTAAGACTGCTGAGAAATTTATGTACAGCCACAGCTGGTATTAGCTTCTGACATTTGCTTCTCAGTTTTGTGAAGTTAAGATTCTTGCTTGAAGGTTCTTAGCAATAATTTACTACTACTATTTTCTAGCTAAATAATACCCAGAATTTAAAAAAAAATAAGAACACTCTTTCTATGGCCAGTTTAGGTCTTGTAGGTCAGTTCCATTTTGCTGATGAAGATCACCAGTGTTATTCAGGTATAAGTTTAACTTAGTACCCCCAGTTCAGGCAGGCTAAATCTGGGCTCTGCCCAAAATCAAACACCTTTGATAAACTCTGTGGATGAGAAATGGCCAAACCACATCCACTTTGGGAAGGCATAAAGTGTGTGTCATTTATCACCTTCAGCCAATGCAAGAGACATGTCTGCTAATTGGTCTCTTCATTAACCAAGAAGAACATCTACCACTACAACAACTCACAAGCTAGTGGCAATCTGGGGCAATCTTTAAGTGGTTTCTAACTCATAATCATATTTCTTCCTGAAATCTGCTGGCCTAGAAAGTCTCTCATTCCTCACAAACAGACTGCTCTCAGCTTCACTAATTATGGACTCCCCAGGAAGAGAGAGGACAGGGAGGGGTATACATCATAAGCAGAGGTGAACTGCTATAACCAAACCTTAAACATGGATGATTAATCCTTTACAATTGGGCTTTGATCAGAAGGTTTTATACAATTTGGGTCAAGGATAACACAAAGTATCCCTGTACTTTCCTCAACTTGTAAAGAAAGGGGTTTTTACCATTTTCTTAGTAAATATCTGCTCTGTTCTCCCATAAGAGTCTTATCTTTGTGATGCATGGCCAGAACACAGGGATACGTTTGTCAAGTGTGAGGAAGGATCTGCTTGGGTGAGAAGGTTAGCAAAGAAATTCTGCCAGCAAATGAAAAAGGTGGGGAGGGTCTTTCTAGTAGCAATGCACACTTCAATTTCAGCAGTGAACAAAATCTCCATTCGGTGGACATGTGAAGAGACACAGTGTAAAGGGTCTGTGGAGGTGAGAAGCACATAATGTCTTTAGCCAAACTCCTTCCTCTTAGTGTAGGGAAATTACAAGGGTGTAGATGCAGTCAGTGATTAACTTTGGGTGCCTTCCCATGGCACCTTTTTAAATGTCAGTAGATCAAAAAAAAAAAAAAAAAAAAAAAAA